ATTCTATTCTATTCTATTCTATTCTATTCTATTCTATTCTATTCTATTCTATTCTAAATATCTAATACACATTTTAGTAATGATCTAATGATTTGTTCTATTGGTCTCTATCCATCCCTATTCCTTAGCCTTGGCTAAGGAATGCTCCAGGAGGTATCTAATACACATTCTCTTTGCTCCAGGCCATCTCTATTCCTAACTTCTAGCTGAGGTCTGCAAGACGCCTAACTCTTTGTAACTTTTATCATTCATCATTTTTACTTTCTAACTACCCAGAATCGTTACAAGCTTTACACATGCCTATTTCCTGTGGATAAGCAGTTTTTGTTCTTGCCAGACAGACTCCACAATTACAGGCTTCCTGGTTTGCTTTCAAGTGTGTGTGCCATGACCTGGCTTTATTTTTAACAGGCAGCCCATCAAGGGGATAACCAGCAGCAAGGTGGATGAATGAACTCTGTTCCAGCCATGATGTTGAGTTCCTCCACCTTGCTGTTGCTTATCCCCTTCTACAGCATTATTGACTTCTTCAGAAACATAAGTCTGCATAATGTGTCCAAAATGTGATAGTATGAGCTTGAACATGTCCATCTCAGGTAAGAACTGTGGACTGGTTTGTTCTCATAGCAATCCATGGCATTTTGAGGAAACATCTCTAACACCAAAGTTCAAAGCATCGATAGTCTTTCTACCCTTCTTGTCCAACTTACAGTATCACATGGAAAACCAATGCATGCATCATTCTGATTTTTTAACTACATCATGGCAACTGATTTTTTTTCCCCAAGGCCTTTGTCGCTACACATCAAAATGCTACCCTGAGGCATAGTTCTCGATTCTTGGTTCCATTGTTGTTGACAGACAATCCTAAAAGGAAGGAGCTATCCATTGCTCCAGTGTTGTTATTTCTAAGGCTGATAGCTAACGTGTCATTAGTTTAGTTTTTAATGTAATCATAGTGCAAACATGTTGCAGCAATCCAGTGATGTGGTTATGAGTTTATGATCAATACAGGAGAAAAAAAGTACTTTCTTCATTTGATTTATATGCCTCCCCCATCTCACCATAGCAACTTTGGATGGCTAACACCTTATGAAATATGAAAGAACAGTATAAAAAACCTATAATGACAACAAGAAACAAAACTCAATCAACAATAAATTAATATCTCACAGGCTCCAACCAACTTCCTGACTTTCCTGCCCAAATCAACATCCAGGACTTTCAAGTTAAAAAAAAAAAAAAGCAATGTTACCTTGAAGTACGTTTCTTTTCCATTCATCCCACTGCATATAATTCATTCCTATATATTTTGGTCTAAGAAGCTAGTGGAAAGTAAAGTGCAAAAAGAAAATGTTGATGGGATGACTGCTATAGAAATCATGGATTCTCTATTTTGCCATAGTATTAATCTTCATATAAAATGTAATAAGTTTCAGGCATTCAGATTTACACTTTATGATAGGCTGGGATGAAGCCATGTCCTGAGATGAGGATATAAACATGGTGTTAATAAAGTTATAGATAACATTTGGTGCCATTCTTTACATGTAGGCAAGTCAAACCTAGGTGGGTCATTTGGTCTAATGTATGTGAAGAATATGTTGTTTCAGAAATTAAAGCCCAGGCTTCCAGTAGCATAAATCACCTTCTTAAAATGCTTGAACATCTATAGCAATGGTATTCAGATTATTACATTGCTACATTTGCATTCTTCTCTTGGAACCTCCCAGACTCCTTGATAGTTAGTAACCAACCTAAAAAATTATTTCCTCCCAGGAAAAATAAGGGTAACACCATCTTTACCAGCAGCGCACTTTTGCTGTGTGTTATTACCACATAGTATGCTTAAGCATAGTTCACACTGAACCTTAAAAATAGGACTGCGCTGAATATGGATTTCTGCATTTAGACGCTCTGAATTAAGCTAGCTCTTATTAATAATATGGCAACTAGAATGGCATTAGGATTTTAAAAATATGTTTCTGTGTTATGTGTCTGCATAGTTCTCCCTCTATTCAGTTTAGGAAAATGCATTGGCTTTAAGAAGTATCGAGTGAATTTTAATCCAAAATTTAATCTTGGCTCTTCAGTCCAAAAGTGATATTATTACCTCTCCCCAGAGGGTGAGAGTGCTGATGATGGACTGCATTTAGGAAGACTGTCATGCTCCAACTTTTAAACTAGAGAGAGAACCAGACTCAATAAGCAATACAGTACTTGGATTAAACAGTACAAGCTTAGCATCTCCAACCTATTCTAAAGCACATTAAGTCTTAAGTTCGTTGCAATGAAAAATTCAAAATAAAAAAAACCTGTTCTAGTCATCTGTCTAGATATCTCCTTTTAGAAAATCTATTTTATGTTGGCAGAATTTCCATTTCAAACAGAAAATAATAGGTCTGACTGGTAAAGTGGCTCTGAATCAGCTGATTAGTTAGTCCAGCATGATCCAGAGATGGCAGAAATTAGGTATTTTTTCTGTCCAGGTTACATTGGAGGGTTGCTGCTATTGTAAGCATAACATGCATCAAAAGAATAAAACGGGAAACATAAATCTAGCTAATAATATTCCATAGTAGCCTAGTTATAATTAAGATAGTTTTTGTGATTCATCATAATCTATTATTTTGAGTAATATGCAAAACAATTTTTGAATTAAATGTACACAAACTTCAGTCAATACATTCCCATTCTTTTTATTTACTGTATGGTGTTACAGAAACAACAGCATTTCCTTAAAAAAAAAGTTCGTGTTTGGGGTTTTTTATTTTTTTGGCTGACTTGTAATTTTTTTCATGTTACAAAGTGATAGAAACTCGTAGGAACAGCAACCAATTCCGATAAAACTATATCAATTTTCACACAGTTACTGTAAGTTTGTTCCAATTTTGGACCTGATCGGTCTTCTTATGCAAAAACATATTCTCATCCCACTAAAAGAGTTTGTTTTCTTTCAGAACGTGGACAAGACTATAATTATTTAACTCAACGCTTGCGCAATCGGAAATTTCCTTATGGGTAAAACCAGAAACAACAGAAAGGCGCCAACATTTTAGTTTCAAACGGTGGTTTGTCATTGGTCCTTGCGAACTACTTTCCTTTCTCATTGGACAAACCTGAGGGGCAGAAACTTATGGCGGGAAAGGCTCAGCGGCGTAAAGTAACCGCCCTTCAAGGGAAGGTTTCTTTCTGGTCGGATTCTAGAGAATATAAATTCGCTGTGCGCCCTCTAAGAGCACATTTGTTCTTGGTTTTGTGAGCTGAGAGGTTGAAGAAGGCGCAAGAATGTCCGGACGAGGAAAAGGCGGAAAGGGGCTAGGGAAA